GCAAATCATGACAAATCTCTTGCTCATATAAAGATGCGGTCACAGCAATGATTTTCCATTGTGTTTACCTTATGAATTATTAATGAATTTGATAATGTCCAAATATTATATAGCAATTAGCACAAACATTCGTCATTAAGCAATTCATATTCACATATTGTTAACACAGTATAAATCTATGGCATGACATTAAACTATAAGACAGTGTTGGGTGCATACAAGCATTAGTTTTACATSTTTCAAGACATCCAGAGATAGATAGATGGTTTATTATAAATTCATCGCAACCCGAGGGTTGAATTATGAAAATACTTACATTAGAAATTTGAAAAAAGAACTATGTATAAAAAGAGAAAAAATATGGTATATACTACATATATATAATAAACTATTTAAAAGGAGATAATAGAATATGCACAATTTAATTCTTAGGTATACCGAGAAAGAGGATTTTTTAAGATAAAGCTATTGCCAAACGGCTATATTGGCTATCCATTATACAATTAACATAGTGGTCTATTGCACTAATAGCTTGTGGTGAATTAATTCAAGTATATTATGGTGTTTAGGATCTTCCATTCAAGAGAGGAGAACTCCTGACTATTGTTAGAGAAACTAGGGTRAGTAAACTTGCATATTTAGAGGTCAAATGTTGGCATTTTGATATTGGTTTGCAGTTATGAAGCAGAAGATGTTGCAGTGTTACGGAAAATCRCTGATTTTTCTACTCAGTTTGTAGTTTTATTTGTKTATTACAGYGTCATTTCTCTCGCTCTAAGTGCTTTGCRTTGACTAAATAGGGAGCTTTAGRYTTGAGAACGAAGACAAGGAYRAGGACGAAGTTGGTGAGCRCGCACAACTTTGATGTCGTCAGCTYGCTCCCGCATATTCAAAAGAAATTCCTAATTCACTYTGAAAAACTAATTTGACATGGTTTAGTTTATGCCAATTTAAGCACAAAGTAAGGATATTTCCGCACACTTATTGCTCAAAGTAAAACAAGGGATGTCCAAAGTCGATGTTCTTGCATTTTCTTCAGATTTCTTCAGTGCAAAATAATTCCAAGAAAAGCTGATTAAAAACTTCATTTTGGACAGAATGAAGTTTGGTAAAAACTTYGTCGTCCTCAGCAAGGAGACAACGAAGTTGCGCGACATTTCATATTAAAATAATCTTGTAATTAGCATGAAAAAAGAGAGCCACACCCATAATGCCAGCAAATAATTTTGGCAATTTTGAAAAGTTAWTTTGAACCCTGATATTTTATTTTAGGATTGTAATTGGTACAGAGCTAAAAACAGTAGTGGTCATGTGGGTCTGATTCCTGTAAACTATGTTCAAGTCGCAGAGAAAGGAGCTGTCAAATTACAGAGTATGCCGTAAGTTATAAAAATTCTGTTCTTAAGAACCTGATTGTCTATACACTGTAATATTGATCAGTGAGATCAACTTGTTACCCTGGGGGGGTAATGACAAGTTTTGTGGTCCCTTTTAAGATATAAGATGGATCAACATGGTGCTACATGTACATTGTTAGAAAATCATGACCAGATAGCTTTGATGCTGTATAGTTGTACAAATATAATATCAAGAAACCTAACTAAAATGACAGGTTAAAGATTGTACCCTTTTAGGAGTTAAATTYCATAACTACCATCATCTCCACCTTTTAGTGATCTTTCTCAGAATTTCTGGGGAGGACCCCACCCMCTTTTATAAGGGAGTCTCCCCCTCTTGGCTACAATTAAAGGTCAATTTCTGTTCTTGGTGCTTACCTCTRCTATTACATGACTGAAATGTCTCTCTAGTTATCTCTATAATAATTGTAATTTTTATATTATAATTTGTAAATGCAAAAGGGGCTTAAAAAATGGCATAATAAGCCCCCTTAGCGATCTCTTTTATGCTCTGTTAGCCTCAAAACCATGTAATGATTTTTTTTATTCACAAACAGATCCATGAATATAGAAGACAATGGAAATAGTTCAAAATTTCACAAGTTTAATCAAAATTTCTGAATATTTTGCACACAATTGAGGCTAACAGAGTGTAAAAGAGATTCTGAAACTCAAATTGATAATTACACTTTATCATATAATTATCTATGAAATAACTATATTTCTCCATTTCGTAAAGTTGATATTTTCACTAGTGGAAATAACACATTCGAGGTTTCTCTATATAGCTGAAGTAAAAAAAAAGGTATTTTACAACATAATTGGCTTTCATGTGTAATTATATGATAAACAGAATATTACATGGTCGCTTGAGATACAAATTTTATCTTCTCGTGTTGAAATCTTTTCAGCACTTGAAGGTAAAATTTGTATCTCCGTGCCCCCATGTAATATCCTCTATATTCTCATATATGAAAAACATACCAAATATGCTTATATTCTGTACTAAGACCTGTTTTGAATTACCAGATGGTTTCATGGGAGAATTGATAGAGAAAAGGCAGAGGAAYTGTTACATCCTAGGAAAGATGGATTATTTCTTGTCAGGGAAAGTCGTAACTTCCAGGGTGACTACACATTATCTGTATGGTAAGATTATTTTTACTTGTTTGTGTATTAATTTATTCTATGTTATTAAGAAATATATATGTTTAGCCATGCCTTGGATGTGGATATATTAGAAAAGCTATGACTTCTGAAGGCACAAATACTTTGATCTTTAATTTCAATGTTTTGGCTTTGGCGGCTTTGAATGCATATTAAAAGTGAGTGTTATTAAGTGTTGTTTATAGAACGASGGTGCATGTTTTATCGGGATATATAGATTCGAGCCGCAGGCAAGAATCTATATTCTCAATAAAACATGCACTCAAGTTCTATAAACGACTTCTAGAACTCCAACATTCAGAAATTGTTATCATTTTAGAAAAAAGCTAAAAAATGCCAAAACAGTGATAATGCATATTGAACTTCTAATGAGCATGTGCTTTGTGTCACAATTGAAAGAATTTTGATCCCACACGAAAGAACGGCTAGTCTAGCTATAGTCCATGTCAGCACATTGATTCAAACTGATTTAAAACCTAGCGAAGGTCTATGATGAGACATTAAAACTGAGATCTTTGCTAGTGTTAGGTTGCAATAAAGCGCTGATGAACTTGATCAGTTCTATATATCTGATATAGAACTGATTAATAAAACATGTCAGTACTTTGTCTGATATAAAGGCCCATCATGTGACCCAATGATTCGATGCTTATTGGACTAATAGCTCATGAATTATTAATGAGTTCTAGAAGACTGAGGTAATTGTTTATTCCCTCTTCGAAGGACATCTCCTTACCCAATATCTTAATTATATAATAAAAAAATATACGGTATTTACTTATATATAAGCCGCTCGTGTAGATAAGCCACACCCCGAGTTTTCTGAATGTTTTTGAAGGAAAAAAAGACAGAAAAATAAACTTTTCTCTTTGTGATCACCACCTGCRAATACAGCTTTCATCAAGTGTTTCCTGCTGCTTGATTTCCGTGATCCATTGCGTATGCATTACAATCAGTTTAAAACGTGTGGTGTACATGATGCTTTTGGAGTTTCTTGTGTAGACATAATTATTTAGATTGACAATTGATACTATGTAAAGAGTTGTTTTTCATTCAAAAGGTAAAAGCAAACTAGAAATTAAGTGATATATATCTCAGTGCCGCCAAACTTCCAAACTGAAGGATCGAAGTGCCATTGTTGTAAGCAATCCAACAGCTGTTTCCAACAGCTGTTTCGTATTTCAAAAACATATGGACGCACATGGTATTTGTATAATATAAGGAACAATTTGGTAGACTTATTTCTTGGGTATTCAAAATATTATTTACCCTGAATTTTTCGCTTGAAGTGTGACAAAGTCYGACGCTAAATGAACAATGCAAATTAGCATCGCGWTACCAAAACAACTCCAAGAYAAAAGAATTAGATATGCTCTCCATTCATTGGCTCAATAACCATGCACTCAGTTTGATTTATTGACTTGTGTTTCTTAGAGTTAGATTTTCGGAGAATTTATGGTAATACTGAGAAGTTTGCATTAAAATATTTCTGTTCATGGCATGCTTAAAACAAAGTTATCACTGAATGTCCTAGACGTCACCAACCATGTCCATAGTAGCACAGTGCATGCTGAACCAAACTTACAACTATGGATTTTATAAGCATCTAAAATGCATTCTATAAACAACAGAACCTTAAAATATTTGGAAACAATTTTTTTGGAAAAGAAAGGCAGCTTATACGGTAAATACGCTAAACTAAATTTTTGTTCTTGGGAGTCATAAGAATTTTTTTCACTTTTTGACTGAGAATTTTAACCATGACGTGATGGAAACATGAATCTAGAATGTGACAGCACAGAATAAATTTAACTAAATTTTGCTTTTTTTTTTATAGCTTTGAAGGTAGAGTCGACCATTATAGAGTTCTATTCTCTAATAATAAATTAACTGTAGATGAAGAAGAGTACTTTGAAAATTTAACCAAGCTAGTCGAGGTAGGTGAATTGAATTTTGTTCGGAAATGCAATGTTGATAATATAGTTTAGAATATTCACAAATGTATAATTTCAATGTATAWTATAGTGTGGATAATGCTCATGCCCCTTTTTCAGCTATTCTTTCTGCATTTTTTTGGCAAGAGACCCAACAAGCCAGATTGGCATAATATATGCTGGCATGTTATATTTTCACAATGTATGGTTGGGAGTATGGTGTGAGACAATTTTGAAGAAAGAATTTTTAGAAATCAAAATGAGAGTGTAAATCTTCCAATGCAGCTTCTTTCCCCTGTATTAGTTTAATACATKGTGTGTTGTTGTAGCATTACCAGAATGATGCTGATGGTTTATGTACAATGCTGAGAGAACCACTAGAAAAGAAGGGAAGTTTTGACTACTCCGTAGATCCAGAGATGTTTCATAAAGGTAAACCCAATGTTTATTATGTTATTGGTGTCTGTCCCACATTTACATTGCATATTCGCTTAAGTATATTTCCTTTTTCTAATAATTATTGTAACTGTTGTGTAATTTTTTGCTGAATAAGAAAATATTAAGAAATCCTTCACTGTGTAACTAAATAAGAGTTAATTACTGAGAACAGAGTAACTAGAGGCTATAACCCTTATACATCCCAAGGGCTACATGACCTGACCAATGTTTATTGACAAGAGAATTAGATATAGTGGCATTGAAAAGTTTATTAAACAATGCAGAATGACATTGGTAATCTGGCCAATGTTCCTGAATTCACAAAAATAAGCTTTGTGGGCTGTTGTAGTTGATAATTGTGTCTAGTAGTTACCATAACTGTTAGTTACTGCTAGTTATTATAACTGTTTGATAAGGTGTTTTATACCYGTTCAACCTTGTTGACACGTGTCGGCCATTTTAACTTAAAAGTTGGTCAAACAKTGTTTAAAAATGGTCAACRCACAGGAGCACAATAAACATTATAATGATCAAGATTGAAGTGGAATTATTTGAAAGATAAAAGACTATCCTAGTTCCCAAGTATCTTCATTATATTACCATCACAATTATCAAGTATATGAATACTAAACAAAATAGATGGAAAATGTTAAAAACAATCAACAAGCAAATAGTTTAATAAATGCATTTAYATTGCAGAGGGATGGGCCATCCCAAGAAATCAACTTAAGTTACTGGAACCTATTGGAAAGGGTGAATTTGGAGGTAATAAATCAATTATTTAATTATTTAGTGTACGTCTTGGGATTTGAGCTTTCAGATCTAAGGGACGAGATAGATGATAGAACTTATGACTTGATTCCTTACACAAGACTTAGTATTGAATAGATTATACACCTAATTATAACTACCTTATTTACTCATGTATAAGCCGCTCTCATAGATAAGCTGCACCCTGAGTTTTGGGAACGTTTTTGAGGGGGAAAAAGACGGAAAAGAAACTTTTCTCTTAGTGATCGCCACTAGCCTCTCTCACAGGCGTTCTTAGTCTCGCCACGAAAATTCACCCCGCCACGAACAATTTTTTTGGAAAAAAGTGCGGCTTAAACCAATTCCTGCCCTGCAGGCAGTATTTGAAGCTTTACTGTCAACACCCAAATAATACCAAAATACAAAATACTAGATGTGTTTTTTCAATATCACTTTTTTCGCATGTATGTAGATTATATGATCCATACACTAGTATCTCCCTAGCATATGTTAGAGTGTTTTATACAACTTTTCAGTAAAATCAGACGTTTTGATTGGTTGGCTTTCGTGTGTTATCAAAGTATAGATACACGGATTACGTCAAAACTAATTGTTTCTTGTATAAAACAGATAGATCTCATTTTTCCGTGCGTGTGTACTCTAATAGATACACAGATGACGTCAAAATGTAGTGAGAACAACAGTCACGCACTCKACTGCGTCTCGTGCATACTTTTTTGTTCTCACTACATTTTGACGTCATCTGTGTATCTATTAGAGTACACACGCACGGAAAAATGAGATCTATTTGTTAAATATGAATTGAATATTATGTTAACAAGTGCTGGTGTTAGTTGTCTGAAATCAATTTTCTGTGACACTAGTAGGCTTATAGTCTACAAGTGACTTTTGAACAACTCTACTGTGTCTAGGTCATCTCGTTACTATAGTCACCAATGTGCTGTTTTGTGAGCACAACTTTGATGTTTTTGTATATTTTGTAGATGTTCTTTTAGGTGAATATAAGGGTCAAAAAGTTGCTGTAAAAAGTTTAAAAGACGACAGTCGTGCTGCACAGCAGTTTTTGGCAGAAGCTTCAGTMATGACGTAAGTTTTACAACCACGAGATGTTGGTAGTCCCTTCTGTAACAAATGAATGAGCTTAGCAATATAAGAGCATTAAATGCCATTGATCTTTGTACAAATCACAACTTTACTAGAAATTCAAACTAGGAATCTTTGGTCTAAAGTGGATGACATAGTAAATAAACAAAAGGACATGTTTGTTTGGTGGATAGTCTTTTGCCAAGAACACGATATGAATTTTGTTTGACTGAACAGTAAGACCTTGATCAACAATCCAGCAACTCTATAGGCGAATATCACAGCAATCAAACAGTTTGTCATATAAAAGTTAGATGACATATCTAACACTAGAGATCTTACTTACAGGAGYCTACATCACAAGAATCTT